GACTTTAACTACAAACAAATTCCTGAAACATCCTTTTAGATATTTAGAGCATCTTCAGTCAGAGGTTTCTTCAGATTCAGTGCAGTACAGACTGCTACAGAGGATTTTTCCTCACAATCTTCAAAAACTCTTTGAAGAATCTAAATTAATGAGTTACAACATTTAATTTTCCTTTGGGATTAATAAAGTATTTTTGAATTGAAGCTATGGATTTTAAAGTGACTGCACTTTGTATCATTTTTAACACTTGACAGAAACAGTAAGCAGATAGTTGGTGTGAAATGATCTGATCCTCTGCAGCTTGGTTTGGCTCCTCTGCGCCTCATGAAGTTAGCAGAACAGACAGCATCTTTCCACTTGACTGGAATGTGGCCAGTTGGAGAAGGCCAAGTCATCCATGGTGAGAAAAAGTCATAAGCTGACTTCAGAGCTGCCAAGTAGGTCTGTGGCTCCGGCTCCCAGCGTCTCTGCGACCGTTTCTGCTTCCTGACAGCGCCGGGAGGGCCGTCCGTGGAAATGCGAGCGAATGGAGCAGAACCTCTTGAGGAAACAGATGCTCACAGTCGAGGCTAAGCTAAGTTGTTACAAAAAAGCCTAAGTGGAATTAACAGCTATTTTTTATTTTTTACACAAGCTGCTGCCGCTAAGGCCCGACTCCTTCCGCTATTTTATTACATTTAGAAAAAAACATGCATTCAGTGCTCAACTTCACTGAGCCAACACATCACCAAACTGTCATCCCTTTAAAATAGATCACCATTTAATGTATTAAAAAAAATAAATATTTTGCAAATTTAAAATTAAATTAAAACATAAAAAGTTTCATAATTACATTTCATTTTTTAAAATGTTATAAACAAACAGACGCTTACTTCAACCCTTGGCTCCTGAGGCGATCCGACCTGCTAGCGCTAGCAAACTGGTTTCCACGGCAACCGTTGGTGGGGTGCAGGTGGCAACCGTGACCATCACGGAAGGCGAATAAAGTTGAGGATTATTACAAAATATGGCCAAAAAAAGAAAACCTCAGATTTTCACGGTGAATGGGAAGATTTTTTTCTCTTTCTTTACCATCGCTAAAGACTCCAACGTGCTTTTCATTTGCGAGGCAACGGCAGCGTGGAAAGACGTGTCACACAAGCTACTATGCTAATGTTAACCATATGTTAACAACCAGGCAGCCAGTACTAACGAAATGACCCGGAAGTTAAAGGCAAGTTTGGGCAAACAGCAGTCTTTGTTTTACGATTTCAGTCAAAGCTAAAGTAAAACGCTGAAAATTGATTTATTTACAGTACATTATTTATGTGCAATAGGGTTTGTGTGGATGCCTAAAATCCTTGAAAATGACTGAATTGCCAAGAGTCGTTATCAAGGTTTGGGAAGTGCTTGATTTCCTTTAAGTGCTTGATATTCAATCTGAGCAGTTTTGTAATAAAGTGTAATCTAACTTTTGATTAAAAGCCTACATTTGAAAAAGCGTTATTGGCTGTTGAAACCAGATATTTAAAATGAATAAAAAGAAATACACTTTTTCTCACCGTCAGTAAATCAAACCAAATTCTTCTTGTTTTTGGTTTTTAGATTTACCAAAATTATTTGAATTTGGTAACTGCCAGAAAAATTTAGTGAATTTTTTTAAATAACTTTTTCAGACCTGCCAAATATATATGGTGTGTTTGAGACATTTCAAAACATAAAATTGTTATATTTTGTTCACCTTGTACCTACTTTGAAATGTAAAAAACTATAATAAAAATATTAACAGTAATAAAGTCTATAAAATAGTGAATTTAAACTGTCTTTTTTATTTAATTATTTTATGATCAAAATATGGTGTTTGTAAAATGTGAAAACTCACCTTAAAAGTGCTTCAATTTTGCTGTTGGATAATTGTACAAATGCTGTATGGAGGGATTTTTCTGCCATAATCCAACAGCAGCACACATTTTCAGTCTGTGTGTGCAGAGAGTCCGAGCCGAAGTCTGAGTGTGAAGTTTTGAGTGCAAACATTACAAGTTTTGAGAAGAAAGACATGAAGTCCTGCTTTCAGACTGAAAATGTGCGCTCTTGCATTATGGCAGAAAAATCCCTCCATAACACTGTTGTAAACAACGCAGAGCAACGTAGAACACCATCTGTTAAAAATCGCTACAGTGGAAATGTTGAGATTGGTATAAAATGCTGCATATCGACATTTATCTGTTTCCTACTCCTTAAATCAATAAATTATTATTTATTGTGATGACCCTGGTAGTTCTGTGCATTAATCGGTACCCAGGAAGCAGCTCTGTGTCGACTCCTGATCCGTCCACCTCCATCAGCCACGTGTCTCCCAACGTGTCTCCAGAGTTACTGTCAGACTGTTTGTCCCAGCCGTCCACCTGAATGTCACCTGGAAATCGATTGACGAACACGCTGGGCTGTCTCATGGCGCTGACAGGAATATAGTCTAATGCTGGGCTGTATATCCCAAAGACCTGTCACCATGTTGTCTGTCCAGCCCGTCTGGAAAAAATGGCTGACTTTGCTGCAGAGTGAGATGGATAGGTTGAAAAACTGTTATATCTCCAGTGCAGTTCTAAGATATTTTGTAAAGTTATTCATATGATTTTATACCAGAGTTGACAGTAAAAAGGTTTAGAAATCATTCTGTCAGGAAATTGCAATCTATGCATCAGGAATCAGCCAGTAAACCTTTTCTGGGACCAACTGAGTTTCAGGTAATGCTAATATTTGTAATCTGTACATTAAGACATTTTTTAGGCAATTCTTCCTTTTTGTGAACTTTTGAAGAATTGTATTGTAGTTTTATAAGTAGTTTGACAGCATTTCTGTGCGTCAGTTATGTACCAAATAACTGATTCTTTCTCCCCTATTTTAAGGGTGAAACACTTTATCAGGCAGTTATGTGTGTATTTATACAGATGTATGCAATGATTTACAGCCTGAAATGACATTTGAAATTAAAAGATGGATTCATTCAGGGACCCGTAAAAAGAAGATAAACTAAATGGAGCGAGGAAATAAATTATGCATCTATGCAAAGCACTAAACATCTTAAAGAATAAACTGCAATAAAAGACAGGGCTTAGACTCAGAGACTCTTACTGGAATCCTCAGCCTCAGATGTATTAAAAGAGAAAAAAATCTGTTTTGTATTTGACACATCTCCAATAGCACGCTGAGAAATGCCAAGTGCCAGAGGCAGTGGAAACTTTACCGACAAACTTTCTCCAAGTAGCAATCTCTGTCTGTTTTGACCCATTGTGTCCTCAGGGACTCGACTCCGTCTCCTGCTGTTCCTGCTCGGCCTTTCAGCTCGCAAGAATAAGCAGGCCACTGCACTGCTGCTGCCACTTAGATCAATGCCGCCTGTGCAAGATGCTCCGCCGCAGAGATCACCAAAGACCGCTGGTGTTGTGACACAGTCCGCACTCTGCAGGAAAGTGGGCCGTTTTCTGCAGACCCATCACATGTAGAGCTCAATTGGTGCTTTTCTGTCCACTTTGCCGTTCTGACTGCAAAGCCTGAGTTATTTAAATCCCGGCACTAGTTCTGTTGACCCTGATTTTGACGTTATTTGGGCTCTCATTGACCGTAAAACTGCACCAATTGGAATTATGAAAATAAATTACCTTAATGGACATATTTCAGTTTAAAATTTTGGTGATAGAATGAGGTGGTTTTTCAACCGTATAAAAATTGGTGTATTTCACAAACCACAGCAGTTTATATGTAGCAGAAACACTCAGTAGGAACTGACCTCCTCATATGATGTGCAGCTGGCTCTCATGGCACAATTCAGTTGAGTTTGTTGGAAATGTGTAAAATCACCCACTACAGTTTCCTCATAACGCTGCATACATACACAGCCTGACAACAACAGCTCAATAAGATGCGACGTCTCCTCTGACTGGCTGAATAATTAATCATGCAACTTTACATCCGTCTCTGCTCTGACTTTTGACGACTTATTTACTGGACAAACAGCATTTGAGAAATAGTTTTTTGCTTTTGACAACAAAATGTGCATGACAATCAAACTCTCATTCCAAAGATGGCGCCAAACTCAACAAACAAAATAAACATTAGTTTTGCTAATGCTAAAGCGCTAATGTCAACCATGGAGGAAACTGAACTTCTGTGCAGCTAAACAGACTTTGCCCCCTTCAAAATAAGAGCATGAATATAAATGTCAAGCTATGTGAATAATTCTTAAGTCGAAAAGTCAAAACTTTAACACAGATGTCGAACTTTATTCAACTGAAAGTTTACAAAACAGCCAAGTAAATAAGCATGTTAAAATTTATCAAGAAGAATTTTATTTAGGGGAAGCTACCGGTGCTAAATGTCGTCAAACTTAGCTAAATAACGCTAAACAAAAGATTAGCTCGGGTATAATTGGATTAGCAGAAGTGTGTCCACCACTGGAGAATTCCCAAATCATCAGAAATGAACTTTTCCAGACAAATCAGCGTTAACATTTTGGATATGAGGAATTCAGTAGGAAAAAGAGAAAAAATATTTCTGTTAAAACTCTAATTTTTTTTGTATTGCTAATATTTATTTGGATGTAGCAAATGTTTATAAAAGTTAGTGCAAATTAAAGCTGTTGTTCACTCAAATCATGTCTATTCCTTTTACATTTACAATAGTTCTCATGTGACGTCACATCCAGGGACTTTGTCACCGACAGCCATCTTGGTAGGAATCACTGTGATGACAGTTAATATGGAGTTGCCATGACAACAATCACATGCGTCAATGCCAACAGAGCTGATTCTGGTGACATGTATTTCTCTTTTACATGAACATACTTTGTTTCTGTTGCTCTGGAGGCCATGGTTCATCCATGCCTACCAAGATGGCGGGTTCAGACTTGTGGGAACTGAGAGTATTTAAAAAAAAAACACACAAAGAAGTTGCAATAAACTAACTTACAGTGATTTTCTTTGCGCTGTAAGATATTTCTGAGCAGATCTTTGTTCAGAGTTTACCTGAAGTGATTTAGCTTGAAACTCGCTGCAGTATTTAATTTTCTCTCCAGCAGTTTGTTTCACTCAGATCTGTGAATCTTCTGCCCACCAGGTAATTTACCAAAGGTCAAATAGTTTTCAGACTGGAACTCTCTTAAACAATTATCTCCTCGGATTGGAGCACTCGTCCGCCTTGACATGTCGGTTTTGAGATGCAAGTGGCCGTGAAGGACATCAATTTTCCAAAATGACTTCTGGAAGGTGAGATATGCCAGATTATGTGGAGAACGATTGATTTTCTGGACAGCCGCCCAGGTGCAAATCTTTCCAGGAGACTAAGACAGTCGTGAGGTGACAGAGTGAAGTAAAAATACACGTGAACGGGGAAGTTTTAAGGTGAAGCAACACTTGCATCTCTGACTTTACACAAAGAAACTCCTTCTGTGGATCATTGATTAAGGAAAAGGTTGGCGATACAAAAATAGACGGAGGAAATATGAGAGAATATACAAACAACAAGCAATAAGTTGGGACAGATACCACACAGAAGGAAGAAAAGAGACAATAGAAAGTGTGAAAGTAGCAGAGAGGTTCTGCTGGAGCAGCTCGTTACTGCTGAGCCAACTCTTGCTCTCCTGTCATCTCCGAGAGCTAATTGGCACCTCCAGTGTGAAAACTCAAGCCTGTGTACTCATTGTCACAGTCATCCTGCAGAAAAACACACACACACATGCCTTCACACACACGTAGGAAACTTTAAATGGGGAGAAAAACAGTCTTAACACTTTATAGGAACCCTTAACAAAACAAACTTTAGCTGTGATGCCGTAAAGACGGCTGCTGACACGGCGCTGCTGCAGGATAATGCAGAGCGGCTTTAATTGTCTCAGCATTAAATGGCCACAAATGCTGAACTACAGGAGGAACAACGTTTTACATTTTGTTTACGCTGTTTTTCATCGCTCTGATTCATAAAATCAGGTTCCTCTGATCGCTCAATAAACTAGAAGATCTGACCAAAAATGTAGATAATATTGATACCAAGTAGGTTTCTCTCGAGTCATCCCAAATAAATTTACTTTAACTAAATTAATAAGTGTGATACACACTCTCCTGGGTTTTTTATTCCAGTTGAAAGACATTTTCTCCATTTATTCCCACTAATAAATAGAAATAAATCATATATTCATATCTTAGGACAGGTATTAAGAGCCAGAGGTGAGCAGATTGATCTAAATTATTGATACCAATACTATCAATCTGAAACCCACAGGTTGATGTTTTAGTTTCATATTCACTCTTAAAATGTATTTTTGTTTTTACTGAACTTTACTGCCAAAGGATTTTGCTTTGATTTTTGATTTGCTCTCAAATTATATATTTTTTTACTTTAGAAAACAACACAAACATTTGTTTTTGTTTATCATGCAGGTTTTTAACAGACAATAAACTTTATCTTACAACAGTGTTAGTGCTACACTGAAAAAATAAAACAATTATAAAAGGAAAGTCATAAAATTATGAGAATAAAGTTAAAATAATATGAGAACAGTTGCTTTACAAAAATTACAATTTTGTTCTTGTAATTAAATTTTTTTGTATTTTCTTATTGTTGCCCTAAAACTCATTAAATAAATTCTTTCCTCAGTTTAACATGAATAAGAAGCCAAATTCATGTAAATGTGGAATGACAGCAGCAGAGAAACAGACTGAATTTTTCACTGGTTGTAAATATTCACTGCCGAAGGCTCAGCTTTGGATGTTCAGAATAATCTTCAAATAGCTGCTTCCCCACTAAGGCCGTTTCTGGGGATGAAATGTCCCGATGAGGATCTGCTGCAGCCCTTCGGTCAGCGAAACGAGGAGAGGAACCGTCCAGAAGAAAATGGATCCCAGCATTTCAGGAACCGAGAGTTTTGTTCTTTATAACAGCTGCACTTACTGGTAGCGTCACCACGGATTTACCTGAAGCAAAGTCTGACTGAAAAATGAGCGCCAACACACACACACACACACACGTACGCACGCACACACACACGCACACACGTACGCACGCACACACACACACACACACACACACACGTACGCACGCACACACACACACAGAGCTGAGTTGAACATCTATCTTATAAAATGTGGCTGTCAGTGCTGAAGTCGCAGCGCTGCCTCTGTCATGTTCCCTTACTGTCACCACTGGGCCTCCGATGCTCGCTCTGCTCTGCTGCTACAGCAATTCATACATTTGTGAAAACAACTTGTTAGTGCGATCTGTGTCTGCGGGAAAAACTTTAGAAAACACCAAGTATTCATGCTGTTTTTAAGCATTTGTTCATTTATTTTCATAACACCATTCACCAACAATTTCCCAACCATGAGTCACGTAAATCTAATTTATATCCTGGGATAAATCTACTTACTTTAACTTTTCAGCGATCCTTTCTATTCAGCAAGCATGTGGTGACAGTGGACAGGAAGAACTCCCTTTTAACAGGAAGAGAGCTCCACCAGAACCAGAAAATATCATGGAAAATCTATTTTTTTAGCTTTACATCATGTTTTAATGTTTTAAACCTGGAGTGTTGCCTTGAATATTTCATGCATGTTTTTGAAATCCTTTTATCTCCATGACAACCATTCAGCTGCCAAGCTGCACCATATTGAGATGACTTCCTGGAGGCAGGGCTTTCAGGAAGCCATTTTTTTAAAGGCACGAAGGCCCAATTTCAAGGCGTTACATCGGGAAGTAAAATTTCTTTTAAGTTATATTTGATATCTGTAGCATTTTTGTAACAACTGAAGGCAACATTTACTTGATTGTGCTATAAAATGGCTCACAAGCCAGCAAAGAACACAATACCTCCACTGTACAGGAGGGTAAAGCAGACACCAACAAAACAAAACAAACTGCTCAGAACCTCGGTGGCATTTTGACCACGATGTGTCACATATTATAAAACTCCTACATGAAAAAGCTTTCCGGGGATTTTTTCATAGCCAAGGTTTTGCAAAAACATTTTATCCCAGAGTGATGCACAAACACGAGTCCATGCATTTGTTACTGGACTTTTGTGATTCTTACTCATCAAGAAGTTAAAAAAAAAAAGTCAGTTAAAAACTGTAAATGTCCCACAAGAGCTGCAGTTCTAATGAGACTTAAGGAGAGATCATATGAAGCTGTTAAAAGGCGTTCACATCAGCACCTTAACGGCTTGAATCCAACTCCAGTCCGTTTGCCGAGAAAGTCCGGTTCACTGGCAGAGCTGTGAATGCTAACAGGACCAAAACAATCAAACTCTGGTTCTGCAAACATCGGTCTCGGTTCGGTTAAAGTGAACTCTGGTTCTGTTCGAAAGCATGAGTGGACATCAAGAGGACCGGAGACCGCTCCAAAAGCAGGAAGTGGACTGCAGTGCAGGGCATTCTGGGTAAATACAAGCAAAACAAACATGCTAGCCTAGCGCTAGCAGGAGAAATGGCGCGCTGTCTTTTACTAAAAAGAAAAGAGAAATCCTCCAACCGCTAAAATCTGAGGGCACTCCATTTTTGTTTAAGATTCATGAAGAAGGACGTTGCACTCATGAGAGGTTTTCATGTTGTTTCCTTCAATACTTCTTGGTGCAGTGCCCCCACAGGTGAGGAGGGGAACAGGTTGCTCAAAGGGTTTGGCTGGTTTGACTCAGAGCAGCTTAAACTGAAACAAATGCTTCAGTTTCAGTTTTCTAACAGTCTACTGGACTGCCAGGTGTAAAACACCCTGAATCTTTTAAAGTGTTTTATAGCCAGGATCGAGATGTAATAATTATAAAAGAATGCCTGTAGGCATATCAATACCATCTATTTTTTATATCTATCCGCCCACCACTGAACATTATTACCCGTCTTAAAAGCCGAACATATGATTTTGTTTTTCTCCTTTTATTGGCAATAAGCGAAGAAAATGGTTATATGGATATTTTTCAACTGGAATAAATTTACAAGGAGAATGTGTTTATTTAACTGAAATACAAAAAAAAATAATTTGAAAATGCATGAAATGCGTTTGAGAACAGCGTGTGTTGTTACTGAGCTTAAATGGAGCTGCACTCCTCCCTGTAAATCTGGGATCCTGACGTGAAACAACCACAGAAAAAAAATGAAAGTATCTCTATGTTTGTATTTTTGAGGATTTTCTATTGAGGAGCTTTTCAGACACCTGTTTATTTGCTGTCAATCATGAAGAAGAGAAAATAGTTATAATACGTCTCCTTTAAAACACACATACCTTGAACCTTTTATGTTTTGTTTCCGTCGGGTGTTTTTGCTTTCAATTGTTTTTTAGAAGGAGTGAAGGTATTGGAATATTAGTCTCTGGGGTAATAATGAGGAAATGAAAATAGCTAAATAAACACCACAGATAGTTTGGTTTCTTCCTTTTTCTAACCTTCTGTTCAGTTTCATTCCAGACAAACTAATCCTGTCAGTCATTTTGTAATCAGGTGAGCAATTACTCAAATTTCCTTTGAGGTGAGTATTTAAGAATAGTAACATTTTCATTCAAATTCTCCCTATTTTGAGTTTAAAGTGTCTTTTAGCAGAAAAAATTGATTTCTAACTCGTCTATATTGGATTTTTCTCTTTAATTTTTTATTTTTTTGCCCGTTTCTCACAGACTCCCTTCTCCAACTGGATTTTCAACCTTTTCATGCCGAGGACTTTCAGGTTGGACTCTTGCCTTTTCACATCGGCTGGAGTGAGACTTCCATTACCAACCGCGGCGCCACCTGCTGCTCCCACAATCTCTGTAATCCAAAGATGCCAGATGCTGACGCCTCAATCACATTCACTGGCTGCCTCAGAAAATTTACCCACCATCCAACCACAGCTCTGCTCAAAGACCCGCATTACCCCGAAGTGGTGAGGTGGACTGTTTGCTCACAGCGACGGTGAGTCACCTGTAGCTGACATGGATGATAAAAAATACATCGTGGTTCAGGATGGATGGATGTAATGCATGTACTGGAGGTTTCCAGGCAGTGACTAGTTAAAGGTGAACTATTATGATTCCTTTAACGGGTTAGGATCTATGGGCGATACAAAACATGTTCGTTACATTTTAATACATAAAATCATTCTTGGATAATGAGGTTTTAGCTGCTTTAGGGGGTCTGCTGCTGGCCACGCGCCCAACTCAACATTTACACTCGCCTGTGAAAATGACTGCAAGCAGAGGCACAAATAAACAACCGTGCATCTATGAAAGCAGAAGTTGAGCCTC